GTATTTTACAGTCTTTATTTTACAGTTAAAATAAATGTTTATCAAATAAAGTCTAATGTTACAACTAATCAGAGATCCCTTTAAGGTGGACTTGGTTTATTTAATTCGCGCTGATTCACTGTTTTTTTTTTTTTACAGTTTTGGCACGGGGCACTTCCAGGACAGCCGGGAGGCCATGAAGAGTAAGTATCTTTTTTAGCTCTCTGTTCATTTCTTATTTCTGATGTGATTAGCCTAATAATCATCAGATAGATTTCAGTCAGGAAGAACATTTCAGAACAAATCAAAACAAGTCAGAGCAATTAGAAAGAAAGGTTCTCAGCTGTCTGACATTCAGCATTCCACTCTGCTCCCCGCGTCCCTTCAGGTCAGGCCGTCCAATTAGTACATGAGCCGGGGTCGTGAGGCCGAGGTGGAGAATAACATGCCTTTCCCTCTCGTCTGTCTCTCCTCCCCAGCATTAAGCCCTTCTCCCAGCAGAGTTACGCCATGCAAGCGTCCGGCCCGGCCCCGATAACAGGTGGGTGCTCCTTCTCCCCTCTGCTGCGTTGACAGAGCCCTGCCATGTGGGTGATGGAACAGCCATGACGAGTTCACGCAAAGCTGGGAGAATTAGCTTCAGTTGAAATGTTTTGTCACATGAAACTGGGTCAAACAGGACATTCACTCACTGCCTTGTGTTTCACAGGGTATGAAAGCACAGCAGGACTGGCCATGTCCCCTGGCGCCCCCCCTTGGCAGGGTCGAAGCATTGCCAGCTCCAAGCTGCGAATGTTGGAGTTCTCCTCCTTCCTGGAGCAACCTCAGGACTCAGAGACAGTGAGTTCAGCTGTGTCCATCCGTCCGGGACTTTACAGTTTACCTGTTTCTTATTGTCGCACTATGACGAACATTTATTCACTCATGTTGCCAGGATGTCAGTTCTTAGAGACAGTTTGACCTGGTTGGATATTTTTTATTTGTCCCGCTAATTAAGATGTTGTTTTAAACATAGATAAAATCAGAATATGAAGATTTGAAAACCCTTTTCCACCTATACTGAATCGAAAACACTACAAAGACACGATATTTAATGTTTAAACTGATCAACTTTATTGGATTTTTTGCAGTGTTGTATGAATTACCTCAAAGTGATACTTGAGTAAAAGTACAAGTATCTTATCTTAAAAATACTTTGGTAAAAGTTAAAGTCTTCTCTAAAAATATTACTTGAGTAAAACTCTTAAAGGCACAGTGTGTAGGATTTGTTGTTTTCAGCGACATCTAGTGGTTGAGTGGTTGAATCATCCTCCCTGGTCCTCCCCCCACCTCCACCCCCCTTCCAAACACAAAGGAGTTGCTACGGTGTCTCTCAAGTGTCAAAAACCTTTGATAATTCCAACCGCGATGTCTACCAGCAGCTTCAGGGCTAGTGATGTTTCAAGTGGTAAGATTATGAGCTTTAATAAGTAAAATTATCCCAGCTACAATGACAGACAACAAATATTACATTTATAGTATTACAACTAAAACCTTTTGTGACGCCGCCACCGCAGTTTGTCCTTCATGAGCCTTCGTAGACAAGATGGCGGCTGCCTGTAGTGGAGACCCATGACCATGGAGATATAAACAGCTTTTTATAAGGTAAAAATAATAAAACAAGGTCTTTGTCTGCAATGATTAGACATGTTTTTTATTATTGTCCTTAGTGATTATCTCAATTTCGACTAAAAGAATTGACAAAATCCTACACACTGTTACTTTAAAGTATCTGATATTTTTGTACTTATTTCTGACACAAAATCTACTTAAGTATTAAAAGTAAAAGTACTGAGTAAAAGTGAGCAGTTAGATTTTCCAAAATGACATTTATTGGGAGGTGACTTCTCCAAAAACTATATTTTCTAACAGCGTGCAGCTGTGATGGGTTGTGTACAAGCTAATAGTGTGTCAGAATGGTATATATTTATACTTCTCATCCAAACACAATTAAATTCACTCTATCCAGGAGACACAGTTTATCAGGATAGGATTTTTAAGTAGTAACAACTCTGAATAAAACAGGAGTAATGACTTTCTACTTCTTACCTTTTAAAAAATGTAGTGATTAGAAAGTACAGATAACTGTGTAAAAATGTAATGAGTAAAAGTAAAAAGTATGCTGAAAAATAATTACTCAAGTAAAGTACAGATACCCCAAATTTCTACTTAAGTACAGTAACAAAGTATTTCTACTTAGTTACTTTACAACTCTGATTGTTTGCAAATATTCACTCATTTTGAATTTGATGTTGCAACACGTTCCAAACAGCAGGGACAGGCTCATGTTTACTGCTGTGTTTCCAGCAGCTTTAACAACACTCAGTAAGTGTCTGTGAACTGAGGACACTGGTTGTTGAAGCTTTGAGGCTGGAATTATTTCCATTCTTGTTTGTTGAGCAACTTCAGTTGTCATTACAAAGACATCGAAACACTCGTCCACGAAATGCTCCAAACTTTCTAAAGTTTCCGCTTCCAGTTTAGAATGATATCTACTAATATTTATGACCTTTAATTAATTTTTTTGTTTGTTTTTATAAATACGGAGTTCTATCTGGGAGAAAGAAAAAAAAGTTGCGCTTACCAGCACTTCGCCATACTTACGCACACCTTCTCGCGAGAATTCAGCAGCAGCTCATCCCCCACCAGTAAACAAAGTTCTGAAATTGGTCTTGAATTTAATTTCATTTGGCATTAAGAAGTCTTAAAAAGTCTTAAATTTAACTTACCTTAAATTGTAAGAACCCTGTGTTGGAACACGTGCAGAATGTGTCTTCATTGTCTTGCTGAAATCAGCAGAGACGTTCCTGATAAAGACATGACTTGGATTGCAGCACATGCTGCTCTAAAACCTGGATGTTTTATTCAGCATTGATGGAGCCTTCACAGATGTGACAGTTACCCATGCCATGGGCATTAATACACCCCCATACCATCAGAGAGGCTGGCTTTTGACCTATGCGCTGGTAAAAATCCAGACAGTCCTTTTTGTCTTTGTCCTGGAGGACACCACGTCCATGATCTCTGAAAACAGTTAGAAATGTGGACTCTTCAGACCACAGGACACTTTTCCACTTTGAGTCAGTCCATCTCAGATGAGCTCAGGTCAGAGAAGCCAGCAGTGTTTCTGGGTTTTGTTGATATCTGGCTGTGTTTGTGCATGATAGAGCTTTACCTTGTAGATTTAGAGATAAACTGTGTTCACTGACAATAGTCGTGTTTCCATCCAGTTGTAGAGTGAATTTTTATTGAACTTTTCAAAATTTGCAAAAAATTAAATAAATAAAAATTTGAATCTAGACTGTTTCCATCTAGTTTCCCTCTCGACTGTTTGATGCGAATAAACGAGGCTACACAACGTGTGATTACGTCAGACGAGGCTACGCAATGTGTGATTACGTCAGACGAGGCTACGCAATGTGTGATTACATCAGACGAGGCTACGCAATGTGTGATTACGTCAGACGAGGCTACGCAACGCGTGATTACGTCAGACGAGGCTACGCAACGTGTGATTACGTCAGACGAGGCTACGCAACGCGTGATTACGTCAGACGAGGCTACGCAACGCGTGATTACGTCAGACGAGGCTACGCGGCGCGTGATTACGTCAGACGTCGGCGACAAGCTTTGCGGTAGTAAACAGGAAGTAAAACTTGCTAACTAGCAGAGGCTAATCATCTCGGGATAATGGAGCGATTTTTCGTTAATGCCTTGCTGTTGGGCAAGTTGTAATTATTCTATTTATTCAGCTAGTTCAGGCTATGTTTAACGCTGCCAGGAGACGTTGGGAAATAAACACAATGTTTTCGTGCGTAACATCCGGGACGAGGCAGGAAAGCGGAAACAGCTGAACGTGAGGTAAATATGCGCTATGGCAGAATTCATTCGGCAAACGTGTTTCCATCTCCCGTTTTGAGCATTAACTACTTTGCGAATCATCCAAAAACCACCTCAAGCGAGCGTAAAAACTTTTTTATTGAATTGAGGATTTTTTTTTCGAATTTTGCTGTTTCCATCCGACCTTTTTTTCACATTTTTATGCGACACTTCTAAATGCGCATCAAAAAGCCTTGATGGAAACATGGTTATTGGTGTTCTGAAGTCTTCCTGAGCCCGTGTGTTAATATCTGTTACAGAATGATGTTTTTAATGCAGTGCTGCCTGAGGGGTCAAAGGTCATGGACATTCAATGTTGGTTTTCAGTTTTGCTGCTAACTTGTAGAGATTTGTCCAGGTTCTCTGAATGTTTTGATAATATTATGGACTATAGATGATGAAATCACTTAATTTCTTTCAATTTTTTTGAGACACATTCCTGTTGGGACTATTTGCTCACACAGTTGTTCACAAAGGGGTGAACCTCACACCATACTTGATTGTGAATGACTGAGCCTTTCAGGGTTGCTCCCTGTGTACCCACTCATGACACTCATATGTTTCTAATGAACCTGCTCACCTGTGGAAGGCTTCCTTTTTTGGAACGTGTTGCAGCATCAAATTCAACATGAATATTTGTAAAAAATAAATAAATAAATACAAAGTGTATCTGTTTGAACATTAAATATCTTGTCTTATTCAATTTAATATAGGTTTAAAATTATTTGCAAATCATTGTAATCTGTTTTTATTTATGTTTTACACAACAGCCCAAATGTAACTTTTATATTTCAGATTCTTTTTCTGTGACGACCATAATGCATACATGGATGTAAAATCAAAGTGTTTTTTTTTTGTCCAGAAAATCGTCTCACTGTGTAGTAAAATATTAGCAAACAGGTTGAAAACAATACAATGGTAAATATTTTCAATGATTTTGACAAAATGTTGAGGTTTTACACCTAAAATGCTGTTTTTTCTCACTTACTGAACTAGAGAATGTGTGAATGCTTAATACTGAAAAAACTGCAAAAAAAAGAAAACATGTACACAAATTTAGCAATTTGTTATAAAATAACCAAAAAAGCTGAAATTAGCAGAATTGCTGAAATTGCTGAATCTAGCAAAAATAAGCAGAAAGAGCAAGTTTGCTGAATTAAGCAGTAAAGAACTGAAATGATAAAAAGATGGATTTAGCTGAAAAAATCTAAAATTAGCTGAAAAGAGCTTGAGTTTCAGAAAACAAATGAAAGAAGCTTAAAAAGCTTAAATTAGCAGAAAGAAGCTGATAGAAGCACAAAAAATGAAATTAGCAGGATATCTGAAGAGAGCAGAGCAGCTTTTGTATTTACAGTATTTATTCGTGTATAATACATAAAATTTAATCCATAAAATCATCCATAAAGTTGGGGGGGTAGTATTATACTCGGATAAATATTTTTACTTATGTATTTTAACTGAAATATCGACAAAATTATTGAATCCGGAAATGAGACTGCGTTGTAAAAAGCAGTTGGAACGAGCTTACCTCTGACACTCCTCCGTGCTTCAGAGTGAGATAATAACAGATCCAGGCAGGAGACATGATGTGAAAAAAGGGGGAAAAATCAGTCCTGCACCTTAGTAATGATAACGAACTAATGACATTAGCGTGTGACCGAGCCGCTCCTGGAACAACAACAAACACATGTTCGWCTGTAATGGCTGCCGTCTACCGGTGTTCTGAAAAGTTTGTATCCCTGAAAAAAGTTTCCCCACCAGAGGGGGCGCTCACGAGTGGGAAGTAATCTGCTTTTCCCCCACAAGATGGTCCAAATCTCATGTGAAGTTTCTGACTTTTGTGTTGGCGCCTCCTGGTGGACTATGTGTAAAATGTCAGAATTCAAATGATGCTGCTACAGCTGATATACAGTATATTTGTTGTCAAAATACCTTTTAGTACATATGTTGTTAAAATAAAATGAACAGTCCAATGATCATTTTACTGATATGTATAAAGACTGCAAAGGCTGAAAAATCTTGAAGTCTGTATGAAATTGGAGGTAGTTTTAGGATTAATTTTTTATGCTTTTCAAGCTCWCAAAAAGGAGGGGGGGTCATATTATATATGAGATCGTATTATAAATGAGATCAAATTATACATGAGATCGTATTATACATGAGATCGTATTATACATGAGATCGTATTATACATGAGATGGTATTATACACAAATAAATACGGTAATAACTTTTATTGTTTCCGTAAGCCTAATTTAACATATGTTTCAAAAATATTCAGATCTAAAGTAATAATTGGACTTGAACAAACTAGATATGTGTCTTTTTCGGGGCTTTTGTCTCTCCAGTTCAACAAGCACCTGTTTGTACACATCGGCCAGTCCAACCCGAGCTACAGTGACCCCTATCTGGAGTCGGTGGACATCAGGCAGATCTATGACAAGTTCCCGGAGAAGAAGGGGGGCCTGAAAGAGCTGTTTGACAAAGGACCACACAACGCCTTCTTTCTTGTTAAATTCTGGGTAAAGCTACTTCCTTTTTTGTGCATTTTTATTTGACCACTTTGTTATGATTTAAGGCCAGTTGAGTTCGTTTTCGTTTATTTTTAAATGCTAGTCGCACTGATGCAAAGCTCAGTCTGAGATCCTGTGTTTTAAGTTTCATACATGATCATATAATCCTCTCCAAGTCACGAGGTCGAAGTGAGCGCCCTCTTGTTAATGTTTTGTAGCACCTGTTGGCTGTTAACGGGCTGGCCGTGTTAACCTTCAGGGCACAGTTCAAGCCTCAAAACTAAAGGCATTGGACGGTGATTTGGGCCAGAATGCTTGGAAAGGCCTTATTTACTGTTGGTTTTTATGCCAACAAGGTGAGCATTGCTGCACAGCGCACCTTCACCATTTGTCTGGGATGTGAGTGAGTGTGACGGCAGCCTTGGAAGAGTGACAGGCCTGATCTTTCACTAAGAAATGTGATCCCAGACACCTGTTTCTGCACTATTAGACCGAGTCCACCCTCGTGCCCCCATGTGTTCTTATTTATAGAACCACACACACACACGCACAGATGACCATGCAGCCCTCTCTACTCACCGTTGGATAAAGCAGAATAGCAAAGTCAGTGCAGCAGTTTCCACGTATCAAGAGAGGAACAATACCTGGGCTAAAGCTCAGCCGTTGTTTGTAGATCAGACATTCAGTCATTTACAAAATATCAATCCAACTGTGAGTGTTCATTTCTTCATTTAGCCTTGAATATCTTCAGATGAACTGAAATAACTTTTATCCCAACAGGTTTAATCTTATAAATGTTTGTTTTACACAAAAACAGCTGAAACATTTAAGATACAAGTCAAAAAATTTTGCGAAAAAAAAAGTGCGAGCGAGCACAAATCAAGATTTAGTCTAGAGCAGAGATTCTTAACCTATGGGCCGCAGCGCCACCTTGAGGGCCTCAATAGAACAACAGTTTTTAACTTTGGGCCGCAGAGGGCCGTGGGACCACATTGATTTTGAATAAGGTGCAATACACTTTCTCACCACTAGTAGCGGTAGTGCACCACTCAGATGTTTAACAACTTTTTAATATGTAGAAGAAGAACCTTAGAAACCTGC